TCAAATGAACCATCAACACACACTTACCATCAACTCACACTAACCATCAACTCAAATGAACCATCAACACACACTTACCATCAACTCACACTTACCATCAACTCACACTTACCATCAACTTACACTAACCATCAACTCAAATGAACCATCAATACACACTTACCATCAACTCACACTTACCATCAACTCAAATGAACCATCAACTCACACTAACCATCAACTCACACTAACCATCAACTCACACTAACCATCAACTCACAGTAACCATCAACTCAAATGAACCATCAACTTACACTAACCATCAACTCACACTAACCATCAACTCAAATGAACCATCAACACACACTTACCATCACCTCACACTAACCATAAACTCAAATGAACCATCAACACACACTTACCATCAACTCACACTTACCATCAACTCAAATGAACCATCAACACACACTTACCATCAACTCACACTAACCATCAACTCACACTAACCATCAACTCACACTAACCATCAACTCAAATGAACCATCAACTCACACTTACCATCAACTCACACTTACCATCAACTCTCACTTACCATCAACTCACACTAACTATGAACTCACACTAACCATCAACTCACACTTACCATCAACTCACACTTACTATCAACTCACACTTACCATCAACTCACACTAACTATGAACTCACACTAACCACCAACTCACACTTACCATCAACTCACACTTACTATCAACTCACACTTACCATCAACTCACACTAACCATCAACTCACACTAACCATCAACTCACACTTACTATCAACTCACACTTACCATCAACTCACACTTACCATCAACTCACACTTACCATCAACCCACACTAACCATCAACTTACAAACCATCAACTCACACTAACCATCAACTCACACTTACCATCAACTCAAATGAACCACCAACTCACAGTAACCATCAACTCACACTAACCATCAACTCACACTAACCATCAACTCACACTAACCATCAACTCACACTAACCATCAACTCACACTAACCATCAACTCACACTTACCATCAACTCACACTAACCATCAACTCACACTAACCATCAACTTACACTTACCATCAACTCACACTTACCATCAACTCACACTAACCATCAACTCACACTTACCATCAACTCACACTAACCATCAACTCACACTAACCATCAACTCACACTTACCATCAACTCACACTTACTATCAACTCACACTAAGAATCAACTCACACTTACCATCAACTTACACAAACCATCAACTCACACTAACCATCAACTCACACTAACCATCAACTCAAATGAACCATCAACTCACACTAACCATCAACTCACACTAGCAATCAACTTACACTAACCATCAACTCACACTAACAATCAACTTACACTAACCATTAACTCACACTAACCATTAACTCACACGAACCATCAACTCACACGAACCATTAATTCACACTAACCCTCAACTCACACTAACCATCAACTCAAATGAACCATCAACTTACACTAACCATCAACTTACACTAACCATCAACTTACACTAACCATCAACTCACACTAACCATCAACTCAAACTAACCATCAACTCACACTCTCCACAAACTTGTGCGCACTAACAACTCGGCATCTCACTACCATTTCTTAAAACATTTACTGGCCTTTGAGAGGGCATATGCGGGCAATATGCAGTGGTCAGAATGTTTATATCTCTGTGTCCCTGCAGATGTCTTGCGAGTACAGCTTGCTTCATCACAATACAGTCTTAGTCAGTCAGGGACGAGAGATAATAATCATTTGTCACAGAGGGCAGTTTTCTATGATTACCGAACACGAAGCTCATATAGTATGCTGTAAATATCCGCACGTATCTGATGAAACATCTTGTTGATAGACAAATGGTCCAATGGTGCTTGGTGGGCACACTAACCGTCATGCGCCTGTGTCTTGGTCTGATATATATTCACCAAGAAAACAGATTTTCAACGATATCTGTACATTTGTTAAAAGTATAGCATACCCCACAGGAAAGAGAAAACACCCAATACGCCTGTTACATATAACATATCCCTTCATCTGGTCTAATTTATACAGAAACGGAACATATAATTGCATGATCCCATGTTCGTTTATGGTCCATGACATCTTTACATTTACCCAATACATTTCTCTCCTCCGATTCTTTTCACTGATGGGGATTTCATGCGGAATGGAGCTCGATAGACTTGCTTTTTTCCAATCTAGATTGGTTTTGGTGCAGGATTAATATTCACTGTAAGAGAGCGGGAGTCACACGCGTGGACACCCGTTGGTTGTTTAAGGGTTAATAAGGATTGTTTAAAGGGTCATGTTAAATAATATGCAACGTAAACCGATGCCAAGTGTTTCGCCTCTGTATTCCAACATCGTTGCTAGCGACATGGTCTCAGGTGACTTCACAGCACGTAATCCAGGTAGGAAGTTTCTTCTGAGCCCCATTAGCACACATATAATCCACACATCATATGAACATATGCAGAACACTACAATTAAAAGGAAAGTGGCAGTAAAGGCACACATATTCCTCATTAGCCGCGTCTTTATGATGCGATTTACCAGTTAATGACATGTGAAATGCACGTAAGAAGAACGTGCGCTCTGGAAGGAGACACAAGTATGGTGTTACTTTAGGGAGTCCGTGCATGTTCCAGCTGTTCATTCCTGTGTTTAATAGCCATTGTTTTGTCGTGTAGCTGATAAACCGTCTCCAATTAACACTCCGACCCCATAATTCACACTTCCACAGCCTGTTCGTAGAGGAAATCTCTTGTCACATAAAGATCATTTATGGCCTAGTTTACATTCAACTCAGAAGTGTTAAATGTCGTCCATTTACTCTCTGGAATATTCATTAGCCGACAATCTTTATTATACACATATGTCATGAAGCTTGAATCTGTGTCACGTGCGGTGAAATGCGATCACGTGACTTGGTTTTATATCCGGATTGTTTTAAGTCTACCTCGGGGTTCGTATCAAGTGGACAAGACTCCTCTTTGGCCTCTCAGGGTAGACAGGAATTTGTTTAACATGTTTGCTGTCAATAGATCACTAGCTCTACAGTTTGTAAAACCTTGACTTAAATTAATCACATTGTGTCAATGACCAAAATAAACATGATTGAAACCGAGACACACACCCATGACATCCCACGAATGAAGATCGGGGGGTGACAGTAACAGATCTGACTGCTTGTAATCGTCCCAAACGTAGTGAATACTTACTCCTGCAGTTAACAACTAGTTCTCTCTCTGTGTGTCTCTCTCCCCTCCCACACTCTCTTTCTCTCTCTCTCTCTCTCTCTCTCTGTCTCTCTCTCCATCTCTACATCACTCCCTCCCTCTCCCTCTCTCTCCCCTCCTTCTCTCTCACTTTTCTCCTTCTCTCCTTCTCTCTCTCTCTCCTCCCTCCCTCACACTCTCTCTCTCTCTCTGTCTGTATCTCTTTCACACCCACATCTCTCTAGTTTGTGTACCGCCTCCGTGGCCTAGTGGTAGAGCGTCCGCCCGGAGAGCAGAAGGTCCGGGATTCGATCCCCGGCCGCGTCATACCAACAGACGGTAAAAGATGGTACTTGTTGTTATTACTTTGTCTGACGCTCGGCATCAATGGTCTAAAACACCCGGACTTAAAGCTTACCCGCTGTGTTCTAGCCGAAACATATACAAAGGGGCGTTAAACTCACTCATTCATACAATTTAAATTTCGTGCAAAGGTTATAAACTGTGTAGGTCTACATATAGGCCGACGATTTGGACAAAATGAATTATGTTTGTGTTTATTTGCACTTTCACATCTCGAGTGCATGACCACATAAACACCAAAACATGAATCACAATAGGATAATGAGAAAACCCGGTGTGATGTTTGTGTGACAACTGCAATATTAACACTTCTTTTACATCTCTCTATGTGTATTTTTAACGCGTGTTGCTTTACGATATAAGTTGGATAAACTTGATGTAAGAGCGCCCGTATGAGACAGATGGTATGACATTAGCCAGCCTGGGTTGTGACAAGAGTTCTATATGCATGATCTTGTCCGCGGTATCATAGTTAGACTGTTTGTGTCGTAACGAGGGCGTAATTACCAACAGCACAAGGAGTAATGAGGTCATCGTGATGATGATACAACAGAGGTCGTTAGATCGTACAGCTGGCACTAATTGGTTGTTGCCAGGAAAACACTATTTCAAGCCTTTCATGCTTTACGGCGTCCGTGACGGATAGAAAGACATGGAAAATCTCGTGGTAATTTAAGCAATTACATGCTCCTTGGTTTGCAGGATTTAACTTGCGTCTTAAAGACCTGTTAACGATCAACACTAAACCTTTTTTCTTCAAGGAAAAATGTAAAACTGCTAAACAGTGCTTTGAAGACGAAAGCATCTCTGAAATAGTTTCAGCTACCTCGCCTGCCAGTTTCTATGCATCTCCAATGGCGCATGCGCAGTTATTGCCGTACGGGATGCTCTTCACGCAAGAATTGACTGCTGATGATGTTTGTCAAATTTACAACATCGGAAATATGACAGAGGTTTACCGATTTGGACGTTCCGCTGTCTCTCAAACGGCAACCTTGCCCATTAAATGACTTTGTTCGGGCCAAGCACCAACAGTTTATAGGACTGGGATGTCGACGATGATTTGGGAGGGCTCTAAAGTCTGGCCGTCTGTCAGGCTTGAACGCCAACAACGCAAGCACCATCTTTACGACAATGTGCCCCCAGACCTCGCTTTAAATCATACTTCACAGGTCAGCTCACGGAACATGACGCCCCGAATCGAATCTAGGATACGCTGATTGAACTGTGACAATAGAATTTATCGGCATTCAATCTGGAAGCAGATGGCGAATAGAAATGTGAAAAATGTAGTTTTAAAGTAATTAACACTTCAAAGAGCTTGCTATTTTTATTAAAAACATTTCCCATTTACAGTGTAGAGGCAACGATAGTGATTATGAATGTGTCTGGGGTTTGGAAACTCGCCCACCAACTTGAATAGGAGGTGAACGATGTCAGGGCTGCGTGTTTGTCCCTAAATACTTGGGAGTTGTCCCCCTTAGGCGGAAGTCGATCATGTGGAAGTAGGCACTGCGTTATTGACAGTCGTCATCCCGAGGGCTAGATAGTACACTGTCGTTGATTGGCTAAGTAACACTGTGTCCAGGGGCCCATCTCAGGGGGGAAATCAGTTGCATCCAAATTGACCTGTTTATTCATTAAGCAGAAAAAATAACTTAAAAGAGCATGACTCAATAGGCAATCAGCATAAGGTTTGCCTCAATAAACACATTTCCAATTGTCACAATTACACGGCAAAACGCTAACTATAGCTGCAGTCACCTCACGACCATCGACAAGCAATGAGAAGCACGAACCAATGTAATCAGCCCCGTCACCCGACCTCGCCAACACCACCGTCAATTTACTTGATGAAACTTCCAGCTTGTCTTGGCCTCCGGGCAGAGGGTTTGAAGAATTCACAACAGGATCTCTCCACTTGGAGTGAAGTCTTCAATCCAAACCCTACAGTTTGCTGGCGATTGTTCGTCTGAAATTCCGTCTTGAAGCCGTTCCCCCGCGGCCACAGAATCCCATCGAAGAGACCGGGGTAAAATCAAGCGAGAGAGTCCTTTCATTGGAGCCCCACTCCCCGTCGCTCACTCAACCCCCAGCCCCCCGGGCAAGCCAGGTCGAGCCCTGTGAATAGCAGATTGTCAGGAGCACACATCAGAAGAGGTACCTCTTCAGGACGCATTTGGCGCTCTAAGCGGGAAATTGTAGAATATTGACGGCAAAACAAGTAGCCACATGAAGGAAATAGGCTTGAAATGCATAGAGGATCGCTACATAACAACACTTATATTATTTCGCCCTTAAGGCAGGGCAGCGGCTTTTGTAAAGTTCGTTAGCTAGTGATTGACCCCACAGGGCGGGGAATGATGTGCACATGCTCTTCGTGCTGGCGGAAGGAGACGACACACAGAGCGTGATCCGCCAGTCACATGCCCACAGAGAAAAGAGTACCAATAGATGAGAATGCCATGGCAACAGCTCTTTAGTTTGTTATTAAAGGGTGTTAACAAAAAGTAATTGATATTAGTTAATGTATCAGTTAAATACGTCAGGATTGTTATTCGTAAGGTTAAAAGAATGCTTATCGCTGAAGGATTTCCCTGTGTCTGTTTGCTATTGCGTTTGGTGAAAGGTGTGTAGTGAGTGAGTTGGGTTTAACGCCGCTTTTAACAGTATTCCAGTTATATCACGGCGTGTCAGCTTAATGTGGGAGGAAAGCCCGAAGTGATGCAGGTCTCAGACGTTTACCACTTCGGTGAAACCCACGAGCACGGGTATGGTGCTGACAAACCTCGAAACATAATCGGGGCGAACCGGGATTCGAACCCACAATAACAGGTTTCTGGCGTGCCCAAGGGACGCAACACAGAGAATCGCGGCGCCTTAGACGACTGGGCCACCCGTGCCCCCTAAAGGTGTGTAGAGTCTGACAAATCTGGGAATTGTAAAATAGCTGTTAACCAATACAGACTACTTTCATATGATGATCCTGTAAACAAATAATCATACATCATCTATAAAAAAACAACCATAAATCTATCGATCAATGTAACCAATAAGATAATTATTACAACACTAAACATATTCGGTTGATATCACACAGTGTTTGATAAAGATAATGTTATTGTTTATGTCGCTTTCTGTATTGATTCGCTATAAATCTGGTGCTTATTGACAACGTATGAGCCCGTTTATGGTAAGTTATAGCCCCCTGTGGGTACGTCACAGATCGTTCGTCTGTACCTGATCAATCCACTGATGACGAGATGGCCTTGCCATGTTTATTAGCGTGGTGCAAAGCGTTTATTTCGTTACGTTTCCTAAACAAATTTGTTGCATGTTAACTACACGGCCGCAAAAATTGTGAGACGGAAGGCGCCATGTGAAACAAGTTGAAAGGAAAATTCAACTATGCAGAAAAAATAGTGCAAAGATGGCGGTAATGCTTCCCGACAACGTCTCTCAAATGGTCGTCCCATGGGTCCACTGTTCTTTCGCTGTTTGATTGAAACCTGAACATTTCTGCGCTAAATTTTGGTTTTTCCTTGCCTCGTATCGCACTTGTGTGCTAACTCAATATCGGTGATGGGTCCGACTCCACGACTTGAATAGGAAAGAAAAGCAGGCAGCTAGGGTACTTTTTCTGTGATCCAATCAATTTGTCAACTTGAATTTTGCGTTTGTTGAAAGGCAAAAAGCACATACCTTTTAAAAAGACCGTGTGGCACTTTGTCCGTTCTCCACTTCTCTCTGAAACGAATCAGAAACAGATACTGATGCGATGGCATCATAAAGGAAAGCAAAATGACTGGCGTTCACCATTACTGTTTACTTGGATGTCATTTCTCATCTGATCAGGGGGAAATGACGTTGCATTGCCTTCAAGAAAAGAATTGAAAGTAGGATCTATTTTCTTAAGTAGTAGGTGAGTATTGTTTTACTCCGCTTTTAGCAATATTCCAGCAATATCACGGAGGGGGACACCAGAAACGTGTTTCACAGATTGTTCCCATGTGGGGAATCGAACCCGAGTCTTCGGCGTGACGGGCAAACACTCTAACCACTAGGCTACCCCACCGCCCCTTATTTCCTGTTAAACAGATTTATACAATGATATGTATCGGAATGTATTTGCATGCATTAGTTCAACTATTGTTCTGTAACATGGAGGGAGCGTATTCCTATTGGTCCAAGGTTCCGTTCCATTGGAAGACGCTTCAGACACATAACATCATTCATATCGGAATCAACAGTAAAACGGCCTCATTTCTCACGTAACGAGAAACTCGGTTTCGAATAAAATTATGCCCCAAATTGGTTTGTATCTTATTTTCTGGACCCCATGAGAAAAAAAACGAATGAGAGTTAGAATACAGGTTTGTAAATACAGACTTCAAAGATGTTGGCATTATTGTGGGAATATTTGACTTCATAGGGTAACATGGTGTCTTCTTTGTCTTGCCACGTGTAATCATGGCTCGTCACGTGACGGATGTCGATGTCTGCCCAGTCACGTGGTTGAAGGGCTAATGAGGCGCACCACCATCTGACTGGGAACGCAAGAATATTACGTCACATGACGAGATTCTATCTGACACTAACACAGCTTACAACCAAATACTTCTAAAACGATTTCCATCAAAATACCTAAAAGGAATAAGCCCCCGTGTTAGCAGTCTGATCAAAGAGTTTACTGGACAGTCTTTTGACAATGAAGACAGATTGCCAGGCGGGCCGATGATAGATATGTCACTTTTCATTTTCTCCTCTGATTTGCCGGAACATTCACTGCAGACTTGCAGTCCGCTCTGACTGCGCTTCCACACGGTGCACAATTGAAGATGAAGCGAATCACGTGACATTGTCACCCGCGCATCGGAGGGCGGCCATCTTGGCGCCAAGAACGACAACCGATCACCTTCCTCCGTCTCCACCTCGCTGCGCGCGCTAAAAGACATGTCTCGTGGAATAACGTCAGATGACGAGCAAAACGTTACATCGCGTTCTGTGTATGTGAATAGAGGCAGAGGCTGACAGTGAGGATTGAGTTCAGTCTTTGAAGGCTATGTTACATATAATCAATCGTAGCGGTACGCAGCACCCGGAAACAAGCCTGGCGCCGCTTTGCGAATTATTTAAGGTCAATCATATTTATGCTCAAGCATTGTGAAGCAGCGCAGTGATTAGACCTGACAAATATCAATACGCTGGAGCAATTGCTCGTACATGATCGCTCCGCTGAGAACAAAAAGTTCTTGTTGTGGGAGTTCTCGTGTCTTGAGGGGGTCGTAACAAGGCAAATATGTAACCTCGGCAGACAGGCAATTGTTTGAAAGGTCTTGTTTTGTTTATCAACCCGAGAGAGTAATTGTGTATCGCGACAGGCAATCGCAACCCACTGTCTGAATCTGATAGGATACTCCATGACAAATTTGGCTTTATGTTAAAGTTGAAGCGTTCTCTTTAAAAAGCCCTCTACATTGCACCATGCAGCGGCGTGGCGACAGCTTGTTGTATGTAAGCCTTCATCGTGGTGCGAATCAGACTCTGTGTAATAACAGCGTATTCTTCAACCATTCTTCCCCATTCCTCATAATCGGCTGACAATCTGTTAACGAGTGGTGGTGCATGTAGACTTTTGTTATCTCATATTCTGTTGATATTGTATAAGTTTACCACAATCACATAACGTCAACTGTTTTCGTGAATTTCGGCATTCATTAATACTCTTTATCTACTTTTTCTATATTTAAAAAAAGCAAATGATTTATCAAATAAAACAATATCAATATGTTTATCAAGTGTTTTAATAGTTTGTGAAACACATGGCATATTTATGTACACATGGATGTATATAATAAAACTATTGTAAGTTCTTATGCAACATTTTGGTTAAAAAAACCACACACTACCCTATCAAAAGTTGATTCTGTGTAGGATGTGTTACAATTCACATCTAAGCTATCGTTGCCAGTATGTTTTATTGCACCAGCCAGATATGTAGGCATAGACGATCATTTAGTCCAAGAAATAAAGTTATTATAAAGTTCTCTTATTTTCAAATATATGTCAACAAAATAAAATAATAAAATTCAAATGGAGCCAAGAACATTGATTTATTTTAGGAGTTGAGGCAATCTAGACTTTTCAGATCATTCTAGACTTGAAATAGATTTATTTATTATTTTCTTCTCTTGGGTCTGGAAGGCAAATTAATGTAGACAGTTCCCAACTAACATCAGAACAAGGCACTGTACAGTGAATAGTTGTTAAAAGGGATTATTAGTCAACAGTGTCATCTATTCCCTATGATGTAAAGCTGATATTGATGCACGGGTCAAAACTTAACAAACATGCACATAAATCTGCTTGTACATTCATTATTCGCAGCATACGATCTGTGTGAAGCCAAGCTTGAAATAACATCTCCCACTCCTTGCTTTTCTCAAAACTCATATTTCACCGGTCAGAACATGGTTATAATTTTAACCCAGCTCATTACAATTTGTAATTTTTCCGAAAGATAAATATGAGAATTAAATAGCTTATCGTAAATCACCAGTTTTTGCCCATACATCTACCAAGAAAATTCCAGGACCGCAATGTACTTTTCTAAAAAGAGTTTTACGACCCTTTAAAAGCTGCGTGTACTGCAAGTATCATGTGTGCACTGTAACGACTCGGAACATCCAAGTGTGTTAACATATGGTAATACGCACATGACGCGTTTCATGCGCTCTTTACATCACGTGATGTGTGAAATGAACATTTCCGGTATTTCAAGTTCTCGTGATCAAGGCGCATTTCCCTCTCTCTTTGAATTATTGAGGGAGGATTATAAATGGCGTAAAATTGGTATAAGTTGCGGCAATATTTGGCGTTTTTGGTGGTCTATGCTTGATGTATGTCTAAAAGTTTCTTTGATCCCTACGCCAATACGTGCGTGTCCAAAACGCATAACTCAACTAAGCTTTCCCTCGCGGTGACGAAATGGTTCCCTCTATGGTTGTCAAATGTCATATAACAGTTACATGAAACAATATCCTATTTCCAATTCTAACCTATGTGCTTTTCGTGATGTGAAATAGTTTCCGTGAAACACGAGAGTTGGCAATAATTGGCGTGTCTTGGTATCAATTTTAAAACGAACAATTTCTACATAATACATGTTTTGAATATACCAAAACGAACTTTCGTTCGTTTCGGAAATTCAAAACATATATTATATAATTCCCGATGAATTCAATAATTCCTGTGCTATTATTTTACAATTTGCAGCGTTGTCTTATATGTAATGCGTTTCTGTTGATATTGACATACCGATTTTGAGAAGTTAAACGAAACATAAACAACAAATTTGAAAAACATCATTAAATTTTTATTAATGGTTGTTTTGTTGTAAAATATACCTAAAAAGTTACTAATATAATGATATAGAGACAGTTGTGTTTCTCCAAAATTAAAACTTATTTTCAGCGCTATGCCGTGTGATCATTTAAACTATTTTATTTGAAAGGTTCAAGGCTGTCTAAAAATAGATTGATCTAATGTTACAGAATCATATGCTACAGACGTAGTTCATATAACCAGATGAGCAATTGCCCTAGACACCAGTGCAAGTCAAAAGAATGTCCCTCTCAACGGGATCAAACAGTATCGTGAATAATTTACCGAATCACTGCATTTGTGATGCGTCTGTTCTGAAATGTAAATGTGTGGAACAGCAGCGACATTGTTGGACAAACCACATGATGTATCACACCATTTTCACATAAAAAACAACCCTCAAACTAGATAAACACTCTTTAAGTGTCTCTGGTGCGATACCAAGCCGTTTATACGAAAATGTAGGCGTTGACAGAAGTGTTTATACTACAGGATTCTATATGTCACAAACAGATATGTGTTAGTTTATTACGTATTACGAAACCTTTACTTTAAATCTGTTAGCTTCCTCAAACAGCTTTCTTCACTCACAAAGAACCTGACAGAAATGCCCCACGGGGAATTATTGTCATAAACTTAAACTTTCTTTCACTGGTAATAATTAAAAGAAAACATTAAAGTGTTCTTTTTTATGTCATCCATCCGAGAAACCTAAATCATGGCTATTTTGCCTCAACATATTTACGATTATCAGGGGACGCAGTGGTAGACTTCCTACTCATATATATAGTTATGGCGTATGTTATATATAGCTTTCTGTCAGGCCGTATTCATAAAACCAGTTCAAGGCATGACGTGTTACACATAACGGGCTTTATCTACCCCATAAATACACATTATATGTCCAAACAGGACGTTAAAACTACATTAATATGAAATAATAAAGTATCTGATATGAAGACGCATGACGTAAACAATCGCATTAGTCTGACGGAAACAACCCAACGAACGGTGTTTTGATTCAGCAATAAACTTAATCAAACAGTCGATTTGTTGTTTGCTTTGAGACAAAAAAACAGTTCCCACTTTCTGTTTTAATGACACACTGATTGCGTAGAACAGGGCTGAGCCTCAACGTGAATTAACATCGGCAGACTGAATTGCTTTACATATGATTAGAATAATTATAACGAATGGTGTACCTTCCGATCACCATCTCGTAAACTGATACATAGAAATGATTAACACAACTGATAAAATACGAAATAATTCGGATATTTGAATAGGGATGCTACCACAGATCCAACTCATTTACCAGATTCCGAAGACCTATTATTTGACGCTTACTCCAGCCATGGATTCCCGTGTATGCCTCGATCAACCTGCTATTTCCTCCCCGACGTGACACTACCAACTTCACCATCTTATCACAATCAATCATTTAAAATCCAATTTGCAGGAAGATAAATTCACTTCAAATACTTATTACTTGACCACGTGTTATTCCCAGTCCTGCTTTCTCACCAACACATTTAACTTTCTTTCCCGTCTATATACCACTCTCTCATATTGGTATGACAAGCAATTTGTGAATGTTCTGTGTACTGGTGCTATGTATTCGCAGGTCGACGTGATGCTAGCTCAAGTATAATTATCCCTTTGATTTTCACAGTTTCCTTATGTGAAGGGCAGTTATCTCCTTGCCATATCGATTCCGTTGCTAAAAGACCAGTCTTTACGACCGCGTTTCAAATCAATTTGCACTCTAAACATAAATTGTGTTGCATACAGTGATAGAGAGCAGGCCCCGCTAACATAAAGGTGTATTTGATCAGGATCTGGCGCCAAGAGTCCGAGTGTGCAAACATTTTGATTAAATATATATTCCTAAATCAATAACAGCTGATATCTGTGAATGATGCCCAGAGACCCTGAAGGCCTGTAGCAATATTTCATTTGCCTCGGAGGATGGAGAGCGGCGGAGGCTGTGAGAGATGCTGGAGTAGTGTATGAGAACAAGAGAGGCCGTTGTTCACGTCGACGTCGGCGATGTATTGTATGTTGGGCAGGATGGCCCATGAGATAAACATTCCGGTTTAATGGTGTTGATGTTGTTGATGTTGACGTCGAGATCAGCATGACAGACATGATGGGGCTGACGCTAATGGGGAAGTAGTCGATGGGGTAATGTAGCGTTGTTGTAGTCGGTGATGTTGCATGATGTACTTATTTGGGTTTTGTGATGTAAAAGTCGTTGTGTCGGAGAGACACGATGGCTACAGTTTATCACCAATACACTGAACATCATTTTATACAGTTGCACACATGTAAAACATCGGATTCTACTTTCCTAACGAACACAGGCTAAGTTTAATCCATGGCATGGATCGAGAAAGTTGATATGACTGTTAATATGGGGGCTGGCATTTTATAAAAAAACGACAACAATATTTTGCGGAATAACAAATATTGCTAAATTTGTTTGTGTTTGTTTTCTGGGCCGATATTGGAAGATATGTCTCTGGTCAAATACCTGTTCATCGGCTCGGACAAAGATTATGCTGAATTTACTGCGAACTGACGTCTATAAAACTCTCGACTATGGAATTAAACTGTTACAAGATAATAGATTGATTATAATTATATTTTAGCTTGTACTTTGTATGCATATTTTCGAAAATAAAGCCCCATTAAATGCATAAAATGTAACTAAATTTGAATTACACTGTTACGACAGCAATAAATAGCCCTGTGTTGTGCATGTATTGATGTGCACAAAGCAACAACAGGTTGAACTGATGATAACGAAGATGATGTTGTTGATGATTATGGTGGTGGTGATGATGTTGACGACGACGTGGGGAATGATGAGTATTTACGACCGTGTTTGAACCATTCCAATTATATATATGCCAGTTTTTTCCCCGGATCAAATAAGATTCTATTTTCTATTTTAATACATGTGATTTGTATAAAATATCAAAGATAAAAAAACGGTTTGTTTTTTTATCGGGACTTAGACTAAACGACTATTATACTACTATACATAATAATGGAATTATACACTGCTCATAAATATGCTAAAAAAGGTAATTTGTATAAAAACATAAAATGCTGATGTCACAAATATATTATCTTAATTTAGCAGTGTCGTACATATATCTTTTTATGTTAACTACATAACCTTAGTGATGTGCAGTAGTTGATGTCGTATAAGACTAGAGGAGTATGGCGTGATCGACACCGCCAATGTTGAGTTCAGTATTTCTACATACATTACTCGTACAACACAGCTATGGTAAAACAGTCAGATCAATGTTTATTAAGTAAAAGATTTGAGAAAATTATCGTCTGTGTTTAGCAATATACACTGAAATAGAATACCCACCCCTGCACTTGCTAAACCTCTGATATTATCAGGAAACCACTGTATAAACTGATTATGTATCACTATGTCCATGCACATTTGGAAACTCCTCATTGCCTTTGATAACGCAATGAATTCAACTTGACATGAATTTCGAAAGCGTGCGACATTACGGCAATTACAAGCCGGAGCGGTTTCACGTGACGCCAGTTCTGTGGGAATCCTGAATAAATGAGCCAAGTATAAGAATTGTAAGTAGACAGCATTATATTAAGACAAATGCTGAATTCACATAAAGAGAAAATATGACCTTAAATTGTGTTGAAACGGTTGTGTCATTAACACAAACAACGTCTGAAGAGCAGAATACAACGCACTATAATTCTCATATATATTACAAACTGTCATAATTTAGTCACGAATGGCATAACCCAGATAAAGTGATGCCATTAGGCCTAGAAAGAGATACAGCAACAGACGTTCTAGTTAAGCTATCTCATATCAATCGAGCAAATCATGTCTAAGTTATGAATTATTCTCTGTTCCCAATAATGAACAGAGTGATATGATATCACATTATCAAGGTATGTTACACATTGATGCTGAATTAGATATGTGCGCATAAGTGTTTCAGATTTTTTTACATTTGATATTTAATTTTATGTAAAAATAGATTAAAAATAGTTCTCCCGGGAAAATGGTATTTCGCGAACACCTGGTGTCATCGTTGATTTTCAGTTATCTAATCATATAAGTTTCACCGTTATTTTGCCTTTGGTATGCTCTGGCGTTGGCGAGTAGGATGCGCGCTGTCAGTTAATAGCAGTGATATGTAGTCAGAAATACATGTACTTCTTCAAATTGCGACAGATATTAAAAAAAGAAATAAGATGTCTCTATTACAATATCGGCTATTTGTCATGGATGCATGTTTATGAGGTGGATTATGTGTTATTATGGATAACGGTATATATCACCAAGAAGTAATCACAGTTCCATCACTGGTAATTGGAATCCCCATCAACTAACTTCAACATGTCACTAGAAGTGTATAGACTAAAAAGCTATTTCAATGTATATGGTTTACACCGAGTGACAAAAGCTTCATTACATGCGTCAAGCAATGAATATAGATTCATCTTAATGTAACTGATGATGGTTATCAAATCTCACATAGGACGACTATATAAGTATGTATATTGTTCTGTGTTGATGGTATACAATATATATGTATATTTCATTATCAACCGACACCCACCGTGGCATGGTAAGAGAAATAAATCATTTACAGCTGTTTAATTTAATGCTGCTGTACAGTTATGGATGTTCTCCTGTCATGTTATTTCTCAATCTATAACATATGTATGTAGGTATATACACGGTACCACCAACCTGGCGCCAGGTCTGTCTGTCATCAGACCGAGATGCCAACCCAGGCTGTCCAAAAGACTTCGTGTTTGGCTGTGTCTACATGCAGGGACGTGCGATACGCAGGGTCTTGTCAACACACAGAACAGGCTGAAGAACACTGCCAATTAGCATGTCTGGATGTCGAGTTATCTTACTTCTTTGCATTTTAGAACCTCATGTAATTTATTATATGCAAATCTGCATTAATAACAGTCACTGTAAGAGACCGTGGCTATAATATGATGTGAATTTGATAACAGACATTGCTTGGTTCGACGCCGGGGATGTCATGTGGGTTGTTTCAAATGTGTCACAGTTGTACTTAAATCAAACATATTAAGTCTAATGTTGCATAAAGATTACACTTTACACGTGTTTGATCATTGTTTGATTGTTACCTGTCTCAGCGTTATTATGCCGAAACAATCACCTTGTAGACTTCGTTCGTCATTAATACCAGGATGTAGTGTAACATGAAGATTGACTTAAGATCAACGGAAACTGTTATGGCCTTACATTATATTTTGGGGATATTTCAGAAATACCCAAAACGTTGTTGTAAGGAATTTCACTTATTCATTTTTTTATTTTCAGAACTTAATTTTATTTTATGTTCTTTTACTTTAATGGTGTCCGCTATGCTGTCTTCATTAAAACTGGTTTACTTTGCTTAAAACTCGCGAATAACATTTCATTTTTTAAAATTATTCTGTATCATTTATTGCACGACTAAATAGTGTATGTTTCCATTAACGTGACCCAGTATATGATAACCATTATAATGTTAGTTAGACATACCGTGTGATATTAAACATTAGTTAATATTGATATAACGAAACCTGTCTCACAGACTTACCCATTTCCTTGTGACATTCTGTCTGTGAAACATGTCCCTTGGCAAGTAATCCAAACTGTGAATACATATATAGCAATTTCCATTCATTCAAGACACATTTATTTTTTTATTGTAGCCTGTTATTCTAATGTACTATCAAGTATCGTGGCAGTGTACTATGATTAGGCGACTTCTCTAAAGCAAGAATGAGCCCCTGTCTCCACACAGCGAGTCGGCTGACAGGCCCTGCACTGGAGTATCTCTCACGCGGCGACATATTGTCTGACTGCATCAGTAGTTGTGCAGGCATCCTATACCAATTCTCCAGCATTAATCGTATAATTTTCATTAGGCCTGATTCCCAGTCTACTCGAACATCCCATGTGTACGATGTCGACTGACCCACTTGAAGCTCCCAACATCATTGTCGGCAGTATTAAACTACCACGGATCGTTGAGTGCAGTATCAGCGATATGAATTATACAGTGTCGGCGTTAGTGTTTTGTTACGTATTTCACTGTGAGCAGTGGTGTAAGACTTGTACACGTCTTGGCAACCTCGTCGTTATTGTTCTGTTTGTTCGGTGTTTATCCCAGCCAGAGTCCTCCAGTATACAAGTAAACCAGTCATGTTAATGTCCATCCAATAGACAGGGATTGGACGCGGTGGTTGATGAAAGTGAAGGAGGGTTGTTAAGCCCATCAAACAAGCTTCATAATGGGCCGAGTCGTTCGTCACACAGTGGGAGAGATCCACAGCCTCAAAGATATTGAATCAAATTGTGAAAGGTTGGAAAGCAGACATTGAGCTATGTCGCTATAAAATAATAGCACAGCGTGGGCTAGCGACGTTGATGACGGATAGATGTGGAGATGTTACCGGTTGCGGAGGCCTCGGCGCCACCTCATCTCGTCCCAGCTGCTGAGATACGAGGGACGTATACTAAATCCACGCTCTCAATAGGCTCATGACGTTATTCCTGACATACGCATCAGTAAGGCTCAATATTTGTCAAATTTATTTCGACAAATATGCAATTTATCAGGGAATACGGTTTTAATGAGGGCTATCAAATTTGACAAGGTGATGAAAGAGGTACGAAATGCTGCTGGTGTTATTACACCTCTGGCAGTGCGGATTTCAGAGCACGTAGTTTACATGACAGTCGGCAAACATCGGGAACGGGTCCGGTAGATAAACATGTGGTCTGAATGAATAGGAGATACAGGAAGTGAGACATATGGGAACTGCGCATGTCATATCATAGACTCCATTCTCCGGGCCACGTCCTTGGCGTAACCTGCGGTCTTTCCCGGAATGACACGAGTGGTCGCAAATGCATAGTTGCCATCACTGTTATAAATGACCAACAGGAATAACTGGCCAGACTGACCATTATCTTTACAGCAGAACAAATATCTCCGGTGAATATCTCCAGTCGAGGAGTGGCGGGGTAGCGTGGGTGTTAATGCTTTGCGCTTTGATCATCCGGACTCCAGGTCCCACATGGGTACAATGTGTAAAGCTTTATCTGGTGTCCCCCGTCGTGAAATGGCGTAAATATGACTAAATATTACTAAATGCGGCGTGTAACCACATCCACATCCACGAACAACAACGTTGATAGTGTTCAAATCTAGGAGATAGTTGGCATTATTCTTTAGAATATCGCGACACACACACACACACACACGCACACACACACAGCATATGATTATATATCTTGAAGTAAGACTGCTGTAGAATGGAAAAATACTGCCAATGAAATATTTTGACATTAATGTAAGAAAGACGTATACCGTCCGTCTTTCACACAATTTTACTGAAAGCTGAAAACCTATAGTATCCAAAAGTACATCTAAAATCTATTTTGGTTTATCATGAAGAAACATTTTTAAAAAATAGATTGAGCGAGAAAATGTATATCGTTAAATGTCATCAATACACATTCCAAATGCTCACTCACAACGGTGAAGATGAGTGTTCTGTTGGGATCAAGTAACGATATATTTATCAATGTTCACAGAAATGGACGTATGGTAGTTAATGATACATATTGAATTGCAGATATTGATGTTTTGTCACACACTTTACTTACTTTCTAAAGTTAAATAATCTAAAGTCTGTATGCAATGGGCCAACGTATCAGTTTGCATAGCACCTACGTTTACATCCAACAATAACACATCCCGACGCTTGACAATCAACTAAGGATTCCAGAAAATGTGGATTTCACAAAATATAAGTGAGTGAGTATGTTTTTAGTGACATAACTAAAATATTGTTTAAACAATAACACATCCCGACGCTTGACAATCAACTAAGGATTCCAGAAAATGTGGATTTCACAAAATATAAGTGAGTGAGTATGTTTTTAGTGACATAACTAAAATACTGTTTAAACAGTAACACATCCCGACGCTTGACAATCAACTAAGGATTCCAGAAAATGTGGATTTCACAAAATATAAGTGAGTGAGTATGTTTTTAGTGACATAACTAAAATACTGTTTAAACAATAACACATCCCGACGCTTGACAATCATTTAAGGATTCCAGAAAATGTGGATTTCACAAAATATAAGTGAGTGAGTATGTTTTTAGTGACATATCTAAAATACTGTTTAAACAATAACACATCCCGACGCTTGACAATCAACTAAGGCACAAACAGCCAGTTCCTGTGATTCCAGAAATGTGGATTTCACAAAATATAAGTGAGTGAGTATGTTTTTAGTGACATAACTAAAATACTGTTTAGAGCCACGTTGAACTCCTAACCACCAGACACTGCAATTCATTAAATGTTTCATTTTTAGATGACGCAAGCAATACGTAGATCGCTGAATAAAACATGCTCATAACATCCACACCGCTCCCATGACGTCATTCAAACATTGGGGTAAAAGTGATCAAGGGTTTTCTCGTCACGCCGAAATCCCGAGTTCGAATCTCCCGTTAGGGAACGATGTGTTAAGCCCATTTCTGATGATATTGCTGTAATATTGCTTAAGCTGTGAAAAACGGTACTCATTCGGTCATAAAAACAAAACAGTCATGATATGGCTGAAATATTGCCGATGTGACTTAAAATTATAACTCACTCACTAACTCATAAAAAAACTATTCTAAAAGGTATGTGAGTTAAATGAAGTTTAATGGAACATTCAACATCTTTCATGTCATGTAATAACATAACGATTTCTTAATGTGCAACAAACGAGACACTGTATGAATGAATGCAAACACTGGGTCAGTAATTATAGAATTCTTATTTCAGAGTATGCAACAAAGTACCAAACAACCAGATGTGATGAGTATTGTGATGCTTTATAAAGGCGAAATTATGAAAACACGATTCCTTCTTCGACAGGACTTAGCTTCAAGTGTGACGATGGCGTGGGCTGTAGAAGAATTAAAGAGGGGGCGAGAAGACTTGAATACAGATTCACACCCAGATACCACACGCTGTTTGAGAGAAACAACCCTGATGTTGTCTCATATAAAAACAAAGTTTTATTCCCGAATCCACATAAAGCTCAATTTTCTTACGGCGTCGGCTGGTATAAAACTAGAGTTATCCTATGCCCCGAGAGCTTTGCGATAATGCATCTTGTGAAAAGGGTAATATATTCCGCGACACAATGTCACCATATGGGAGGTCCATTTTACTTACCTGATTCAAATATTTGAACTTCATAAATGGCGATATAAAACCGTGGGCTAGGAAAACACTTGCTTTGAGGTGGGTAAATAACTTTCAAGTTTAGTCGTCGCTTGATTGGTTTCTTGGGAGTTTATGTCTTTCAATAATCGGAAAGATAAATTTGACGTGATCTCAAGCGATACCGTCTCGAGTGATGAGAAAAACTGACATTAACTTTGTCTAGGATAGTAAAATGTTGGCACGTTGCATCACTCCTCATCCAGTTGTTCACCATTTCGGTTTTTATAACCCGATAAACGATGCTCGCTTCATTTGGTAGCTTTGTAATTTAGGAGGTTTGTTATCACTGGGCATGGCGGTTAACTGCAGTAGAGGTTTACCATGGCCCCAGAAATTGTGGTTTAATCTCTCCTAGTGTTCATATTCAATCAGCATGGCTTTGTACTAGTGTAGCACTAACACTGTTAACGTCATCTTGGATGATAGATGGCGTTGTATCTGCCCTACAACCATCAACGCGCGGCCAGCTTCAAAGTCCCTCACAACATGAGATACACGGACGATGATCGCCAAGTAACACAAGGTGACCCGCAAACATACATAAATTACGGAGTAGAAGGGCAAATAGCCGTCCCCGTTGCGTTAATGCTCCGGTGTAGCGTCAGTCTACCCTCTTACCACGACCCAGGCCAACCCGCCTCCTAAATCTCGCGAGAACACACCGCTTCACTTCTCTGATATTAGGCGCTAATTAAAAGTCTCCTCGTTCTCTTGTCAAATCAAATGGGTAGTTTCCGATGATCTTTTTCGACGAAGAAAATCTGAGTGATTCTACCTCGCCCCCAAGTCACCTTTAATTTTGCGAGGTCAGGTCAAGAAAGGGCACTTGTCGGTTCGCGCAATAATACAAGGGATAACGAGAGGAGGTAGTCGGTTCGCGCAATAATACAATGGATAACGAGTGGAGGTAGTTATTAGGGGTTGGTAGTTTGTAATGGCGTCCAGCCGAGATATTGGGTAGGTGACGTTTGAGCTGTTCAAAGATGGGGAATGAACAGGTCTGAGCGGTTCTGTGACTGACAAAATATGAAAAAAATAATGGGTCTTTGTTACTCAATGGGTGCATCGAGATTGACACATCCTTGGCCACATGGCAGCAGTAATTTGGATGTTGTATCATTTTGAGACTTCATACACTGAAGGAAAGAAAGGTTGTTATGTGTCCAGAAAGGAAGAACCTGAGTGAGTGAGTGAGTGAGTGAGTTGGATTTAACGCCGCTTTTAACAGTATTACAGTTATATCGCGGCGTGTCAGCTTTATTGTGGGAGGAAAGCCCGAAGTGATGCACAGCGAATCGCGACGCCTTAAACGACTGGGCCACCCGTGCCCCCAGGAAGAACCTGAACACAGCCTAATTAAATTATATTAAATTTGGCTACATGTGTAACAACAGTTTTGGAGAACCACGATATGTACTTCTGTGACGTCATCTATAACGGTCAAGTTGAATGACTGTGATATTGCCGAAAAAACTTGAAATTTCACATTTTCATTCAGTTTCCAGATTATTTGCGTTTTCACTTTCTCGTGATGTTTCTCTAAAATGACACTTCTAATTCTGGTGGTACGTATTCTGATAAATATAGTCTTTTCGTAATGTCATTCGTCATTCGAAATGCCATTGTTTCCAAAACATCCTTCTACAGCTTCATTTCCCTAGGTGAGTAATATTTCATCCTGAGCATGTTTCTTTTAAAAAATATCATCTAATCAAATGAACCTACTCATTCAATACCTCGAAGCATTTTAAGTCTTATAATCTCGGAAACGAACAGGTAGCGGACGGAGAAAATGACAGACTACGGAAAAACGCCGTCATGTTATAGGATGACAGGGAAATTGTAGCCCCCGTGGTCTCGCACGTGCACTTTTGACATTACATTTCACTCGTAATGCATCAGGGGCGTTGAAACCCGCTGAAGAAGGCCGCGCTCGGGTGTGTGTTAGTCGAGACTTCGAATCCCATTTAGTCATATGCATTTAGTTATTTCATCCTGAGTTAAATCTCCATGATCTCATTGAAATTATTTTCTTTTGAAATGCTCTCAGATTTACCCTGAAGAATCCCAAATGACCACGTTTTGATAACTAATGAAATCATTACGTAAGCCATATTGCATTCTTTGAAATAGCGACTCCTAAATTCGCTGCTTGGAGCTGGTGTCTGC